CTTTTTCTACTTTTTTGTTCCTTTTTTCCCAAAATGATGTATGACCTTGACAGAGTTCTTATTATCAACAACAGGTTTGGAGTGGAATCTGCACCTGCAATTGTATTTTTGAAAGAACATGGTGTTAAACCTGTTGTGTACCATGGTATGTCTCTCTTTTTATTTTGTTTCATAGTCTTTCTTGCTACTCTTTGTAACATAAATAATGTGTATGTACATAACAAGCTAAGCAGTCCACATTACTGCAGGACCTGCCAACAATTCATGTTTTGTAGATATAATGGAACAGAATAAACATCAAGGTAATGCTGTTTGTTTGTACTTTATCAAGTTTTATAATCTAGGGCCTTGACACTATAACAAAATTTGCCCTGTCATATTACTTGAGTGAGTGCAACCATTGTGTAAATGGCTTGTTACAGTGATTCTAATGTGCAAGTAAACCTCATGTGATTGACAAGTGCAAACTGTTAGCTTCATGATTATTGGAGGTTGTTGCTGTCATCAGTTTTTTTATCCACTGACTAGAGTCCTTTATGTAGTTATTTTCTTCAGCAAAAGGGAAAAAAAATCTAGATTGTATTTTGATATTTTTTTTCTGGGAACTGAACTAATCATTTCTTTCTTCTTGGAACATTGGATCAGCTAATCTGACTCTGAAGTTTTTCCTTGGTACATGTTTTCCTATGTAGAAATCTTCCTTGATAATTTCCTTCACATGAATTGAATTGTACAGAACTTGTCAGGTTATGATTTTGTTTTCATTTGATAAGATGTTGTGTTGCAACCTTTTTTCCGTATTGTGTAAATTTGTGGTAGAATCTTTTGTCAAATGTGGCCCTCCTTATAAAGTAACCCTTTTTCTTTAGATTTTACGGGAGTATAAGCCTGCAGAGTGTCCACCATTTTTCCCACATAGTAGAATAAATGACTCAGTAATGCATCCTGCATAGTTGCTTTTTGTGACGGATCATCTTTGTGTCTGCATTTGAGAGTCAATGGGAAATTGACTAGGTTGTGTTTATTGGTTCCAATGGGCTGTGCTATTATACAAATATTATTATAGATATCCTTTAGCTGATTTAGTTTACTTTTGTGATCTACTAAATGCTCGTAAGTTGTTCTATGTTGAGATTATGGTTATCAAGGACAAGAGATTAGACAAAGCATTCTTTGTTCCCATGAACCAAGGCATAAATACAACCTTTTTAATATATTAAACTATAAAAACACGGAGGATAAACGATAAAAAAAGGAAAGAGAAAAACACAGGATAGTCTCATCAAAATTTCCAATCTGCATTCTGACATAGAGTTGCTAAGGAGTCAGTTTTGTGTTGCTTAAATCCCTTTACATATATGTAAATTCTTGGCTTTAGTCAGAATATGTTAGCCTCCTTAAATAAAATAAAAAATAATAATGCTACAATATACCATAAAAAAGTTTGAAAATGAATGTACTAATTGTTAAAACAATGAGAAAGTCACAGATTTGTTAGCAGAAATATCGACATTTTTGGGTTGGCTTAAAACATGTTCCCAGGGAGGGAGGGAGGACAAGTAAAAGAGGTAGAAATGTTTATGAACCTCAGTGCAAATATCAGGTTTTTGATCCTCACTTGTGAATGTTTGAACCTTAAGGTTGTGCATATTGTGTTGTATTTGAAAGTAGTGGTGTTATAAAATTTTTGAGGTTGGAGCGCATGAATTAAAAAGTGGGTGATTATTTTAGTGATTCCTTTAATTAATTGGAGTTTGGCGATTGTTTTAGGGAATTCCTTGCTGGTTTTTTGGATGAATTAATTTTTGGTTGAGTTTGATATATATATATATTTTCTATTTTTGAAAAGGTGGTAGCCTTATGCTGATAAAGATGGTTGTTATGTGCAACAAAGACTTGTAGATGCAACAATAAGTAAAAGTGATATGATCACCATAAATGAAAACGTCAGGAGGGGAAGATCTAAACTGACATGTGATGTTGTAGTAAAAAATGATTTGAGTTTATTAAATTTAATTTGTCATATAGCCATTGACAGAGCGGAATAGAACAAAAGAATTCATCTAGCCGATTCCACTCAGTTGGGACACAGTGCTTGGTTTGGTTTGGTGGTTACCATTCCAGTCTTAGTGGCGAAGTGGTTGAAAAAGTTGTGAAGGGACTTTCTTTGGGGTAGGTTTGGGGGATATATTTAACCACTTGGTTGATTTGATACGGTTCGCTCCCTTATTTGAGTGGGTGGTTAGGGATTTGGCATCTTGAAATCTTAATCAAGCTCTTTTGGGAAAGTGTTATGGAGTTTTGTGTGTGAGTAGGACAGATTTTGGAGAAGGTTTGTGTTGGCAAAATATGGATGTAGGTGGGGTGATTGGATGCCTTTGGAGGTTTTTGTGCATCGGTGTGGGCCTTTTACAGGGTATTAGGAAGGTTGGGTATGTTTTCACCATCATGTGAGGTTTGTGTTTGAGAATTCAGTTTTGGTGACATCTGTGCTGTGGAGAGTAGGAATGGCAACGGGGCGGGGCGGGGCCGGGGATCACACTCCCCGTCCCCGATCCCCGAAGGTACGAATTTCTCCGTCCCCGGCCCCGATCCCCGACGGGGAGTCTCTCATCGCCCCCACCCCCGTCCCCTAACGGGGATCGGGTTTCCCCGACCCCGAAAATTCACCGATCAAAATAAAAAAAACAAAAAAAAACAACACATTCAATAACAGATCTCTTCATCATATATCAACATATATATCAACAACAACAAGAATCAGGGAGAGATCTGAGCTATATTCAACATATATATCAACATATATATCGCTATATTCAACAGATCTAAGCCCAAATACATATTCAACACTAGATTTAACATATATACAACAGATCGAAACAGATCTGAGCTCAAAAAAAAAAAATTAACACATTCAGAGAGAGAGACGCATCATCATCAACAACAATCATCAACTTAAAAACAAAAAAACACGGATCAGATCACAGAGAGAGATATGAGGTAAGGCGGTGGTGGTGGTGGATCTGGGTCTTGCACACACGGATCAGATCAGATCAAATCTGATCTCACGGCCGGTGGTGGTGGTGGATCTGGATCATGTGGTTGAGCAACTCCGGCGGCTGAAAGAAAGGACGAAGTCGAAGACATCACGGTGGAGATAGATGGTGCGATCAACGGCGAGATGAGAGAGAGGAGAGATAAGAGAGAGGAGATAGTTTCAGAGCAGTGGGAGGGATGAGCGAGTGAAGCGATGAGAGAGAGGGGAAACAAGAAGAGAGAGAACTGGGATAGATATATAAATATAATATAATATCATATAACCTAAACAGCAACCTAAAACACATATAATAATATTATATAGATAGATATAATATAATATGCACATATATACACATACGGGGAAGTTTCGGGGAAATTGCGGGGCGGGGCCGGGCCGGGGCCGGGGAAGGAAAACTTATCACCGTCCCCGGCCCGAAATTGATCGGGGATTTAATTTTGAATACCATCCCCGTCCCCACGGGGTATTTTTCGGGGAAAAACCATTCTAATCGGGGTCGGGGGGTCGGGTCCCCGTCGGGCCGGGTTTGAATTGCCATCCCTAGTGGAGAGAAGTTGGAGCTGGCCTGTCTAGCTTGAGACAGATAACAATTGATAGAGGGGTTGTTGTTAGTGATATGTGAGGAGGGAGTGGGATCACATCTTTTGGGACATTTGGGCCTTATTTTTATTTTTAGTCTTGTTTGACATGGTTTGGGTGTTCCCTTCAAATGTTTGGGACCTTTTGCTTTCTTGGAGGGTAGCCAAAGTTGAAAAGAGAAAAAAGAGGTAACTGGCAGTTAGGACCTCCCATTTTATTTTGGAGCATCTGGAGGGAGCTTAATAGCAGAAGTTTTGATGGTGTTAAGAGTCTTGAGACTTCATTGAATCCTTTTTTGAATTTTGTTGAGAAATTTGAATATATTGATGTATAGGAGTTGTTTTTTATTGTTTTGGTTCTTATAGTGTGAAACATCGGTGGCATCCCCTTGACAGTATATGAATCTAGTTGTGTTCTGGTGTCCTTGGACATAAAAGGTTTGATGAACTTGATAGTTCAGCACATGCAGGCACCTGATATCCGTTTCCGAGTGCACGTAACATAGCTTTGAAGTTATATGAAGATATAACTATGTCTATATTTCATGTAAAAAAGCCGCTCGGATCCCTTATGACAATGAATTCTACTTTGAATCGTTTAAATGCTAGGTCGTTTCCCTCAAGTTACGCGTTGCACTTGCCTCCGGGTGTTTCGAAAAGTGAGTAAGGGGCGCTGCATCGACACCTGAGTGTGGTGAAAAATGGGCAAAGGCTCCCGCGTTTTGCTGGACGAGCGCGGGTAAAGGAGCTAGTCCAAGACTATAGGTTTAGGGTAGCCACTTGGAATATAGAAACCTTAACTGGTAAGACGATGGAGTTGGTAGATGTTATGATTAGGAGGAGAGTTAGTATAGCTTGCGTGCAAGAAACTAAGTGGACGGGTGAGAAAGCTAGAGAAATTAAGGATACCGGTTTAAACTGTATTGGCCCAATTTGGTGTAGCTGTTAAAACAACTTATAGATTATAGAGTGAGTGCAACCATTGTGTAAATGGCTTGTTACAGTGATTCTAATGTGCAAGTAAACCTCATGTGATTGACAAGTGCAAACTGTTAGCTTCATGATTATTTGGGGGTTGTTGCTGTCATCAGTTTTTTTATCCACTGACTAGAGTCCTTTATGTAGTTATTTTCTTCAGCAAAAGGGAAAAAAAATCTAGATTGTATTTTGATATTTTTTTTCTGGGAACTGAACTAATCATTTCTTTCTTCTTGGAACATTGGATCAGCTAATCTGACTCTGAAGTTTTTCCTTGGTACATGTTTTCCTATGTAGAAATCTTCCCTTGATAATTTCCTTCACATGAATTGAATTGTACAGAACTTGTCAGGTTATGATTTTGTTTTCATTTGATAAGATGTTGTGTTGCAACCTTTTTTCCGTATTGTGTAAATTTGTGGTAGAATCTTTCATCAAATGTGGCCATCCTTATAAAGTAACCCTTTTTCTTTAGATTTTATGAGAGTATAAGCGTGCAGAGTGTCCACCATTTTTCCCACATAGTAGAATAAATGACTCAGCAATGCATCCTGCAAAGTTGCTTTTGAGGGATCGTCTTGTGTCTGCATTTGAGAGTTACTGGGAAACTGACTAGGTTGTGTTTATTGGTTCCAATGGGCTTTGCTATTATACAAATATTATTATAGATATCCTTTAGCTGATTTAG